AGCTAATCTATCGTCACCGGAAATTCAAATCATTTACTAAATGGAATAACAATAAAAACATATCAAAACAAAACATATGGATTGGATACCCTTCTGACAGTCCACTTACAGTTCAATAAACACTCGAAGTGTTTCTAAATATATGCCATTATTGGGTCCTAATCAAACTCTGGGCAATTTCGGTGGCAATTTTGTCGCCAATCCACGATTTCCCAAGAGTCAGTCTTTCTTTTGCCCCAGAAGGTAGCACGCGCGCGCACGAAATTCTCTACGATTATAATGATTTAAGCTAAATAAAAACTGAAAGAACATCTATAAAGTAGACATATATGTAGATAGATAGATAGATAATATTATTAAATAGTTGTGATATGGGTGCATCCAAGAAGAAGCTCGCTGATCCCCTGCGGATACAAATCGGTGGTGGTGGCATCAATGGTGACCCCAAAAAGCAGCCGCAGCCCCTCAATCGTGTGACGACAACCAAGTACACCTGGCTGACATTCCTGCCCCTCAACTTTTACGAACAGTTCCGCAGAGCGGTCTACTTTTACTTTCTGATCATCACAATCGTCTCATTCTTCGTGAGTAAGTTTTGTGCACATTTTAAGCATGCCCAAACTAATCGTAGATCTTCTATTCCATAAACAGATGATACGATATCTCCGCTTGTTTCATTGATTCCTTTGCTGTTTGTTATGGTCATAACAGCCCTAAAGGAGGGCCTGGAGGACCTCTCACGTTCAAGGAGTGATAAAATTGTCAACACTGCCAGAGGTACATATTTTTCATAGTCAAGGGAAATTTATTCATCCGTATGCTGCCGTTCCTTTCCAGTCACCGTTATCCGCAATGGCCAGGAACAGTGCATCGACTCTCAGTTCATTGTACCCGGCGATCTTGTGGTTGTGACCAGCAATGGCGACATACCCTGCGACCTGGTGCTCCTCCAGTCATCGCGAACAGACAACAAGTGCTTCATTACCACCGCTAATCTGGATGGCGAAACGAATCTGAAGACCATCTTTGCCCCAACGAACTACACGCTCGCTATGGAGGGCTGCATTGTGTGCGAGGCGCCAACCCCGGATCTCTACAGCTTCAATGGACGGCTAGAGCCGGGGAGTGATGCCCAGGCCCTTCCCTTGGCGCTTGAGAATCTGTTGTTGCGTGGCGTTCGTGTCAAGGGCACAGAGCGTATAGTGGGCTGTGCCATCTACACGGGAATGTACACCAAGCTGCAGCTGAACAGCCGCTATACGGGCAACAAGTCCGCCTCCAGCGAGAAGTACATCAACAAATTCATGGTGGCTCTCATCCTAGGCATGATAGTCGTTGTGGTGATACTATATATGATCGAACGGCACAAGGAGGCCAAAGTAGTGCCGACAATGCCGTACCTGGGACCACCGCCAAACTTCAATTCGTTCTGGCAAATCTTCGAGGACTTCCTGTCCTTTCTGCTGCTGTTCAACTACATGGTGCCGATATCCGCCTACATGAACATCGAGCTTTATCGCATAGCCGGCTCACACTTCATGCAATCCGATCTGCATTTGTACGACGAGGAGACCGATGAGCCCTGCCACGTGAATGCCTCCAATCTGAACGAGGAGTTGGGACAAGTTAACATTCTGTTCTCGGATAAGACCGGCACTCTCACCAAAAACCTCATGAACTTTCTCAAATGCTATGTGGCCGGCAGGGACTACCATCTGCAGAGGACCCAGCTCTATTCGCCAGCCTCCGATGAAAAGTTGGATCTGGAAATGCTGGAGGTAAGGGACTTAGCATTGAAAATGTGATCGCAAATAAGGTTTCGATTCACTTACAGACGGAGGCCATCAAGTTCTTTGAGGCTTTGACCATCTGCCATACGGTGGAACTGCTGCCGCTGTCAGGTGAGGGCTGCTCCCCCGAAGTAGGACTATCGGAAAAGAGTAGCCTTATGTCGACTGGTGACGTTGTGGGCCGATACCAGGCCTCCAGTCCCGACGAGAAGGCCCTGCTCGAGGGTTGTGCCAATCTGGGTTTGGTTTTTGAGGGCTGCCACAGCAATCGCCTACGCATTCGTCGCTATCCAAATGGAGAGGAGCTGCAGTACGAGCGTCTTCATGTGCTCGAATTTAGCTCGGAACGAAAGCGTATGAGCGTCATCGTTCGGGATCGGCAGGGCACCATCTGGCTGTATAGTAAGGGTGCCGAAAGCATAATCTTTCCGCGCTGCAACAGGAGTCCCGAGCTGGTTCGGACCGATGCACAAATCACGGAATATGCTAAGCAGGGTCTGCGCACTCTGGCCGTGGCCAGACGCATCCTCACCGAAGAGGAATACACCAGCTTCATGGCCCAATACAGGAATTCAAATATACAGCTGGACAACAGGAAGGACCTCATAGCGAAGTGCTACGAAACTGTGGAAATCGGACTCGATCTGCTTGGGGCCACTGCTTTGGAGGATGCCCTGCAGGATAATGTGGGCGAGACAATGGGTGCTTTGAGGGGTGCGGGCCTAAAGATATGGGTACTCACTGGCGACAAGGTGGAGACCGCCTTCAACATTGGCCTCGCCTGCCAGCACATATCTCCCGGCGCACGGGTACACTATATGGTAAATGTGACCGAACAACCGAAGCTACTGTCACAGCTCGGAGAGATTGATGCTGCCATCGGAAAGCACTCAGAGGATGCCCTGGTGATTGATGGCGTCGCGGTGGCCGCCCTGCTGACACACACGCCCAACGAGTTTGCTGATGTGGCCCTCAAATGTGGAGCCGTACTGTGCTGCCGCTTAAGTCCGTTGCAGAAGAGCGAAATTGTGACACTAATCAAGCGAAGGAAGAAGAGCCACATCACGGCGGCCATTGGAGATGGAGCGAACGATGTGTCCATGATACAGGAGGCGCACATTGGCATTGGGATCGCGGGGCGTGAGGGTAAGCAGGCGGCACGTAGTGCGGACTATGCGATTGCCAAGTTCGAGATGCTACAGCGTCTGCTCCTCGTCCATGGGCACTACAACTCGGAGCGACTGGCCTTCCTGGTGCTCTTCTACTGCTACAAGAATATCATCATCACTGGGTGCATGGCCCTGTTCCAGGTCTACGATCTGTATTCGGCCACAAATGTGTACAACTCTCTGTTTTTGTGGCTGTTCGATATTGTCTATATCTCGTTCAGTTTTACCATTTTGGCTATATCCGATAAGCCGTACAGCGAGGAGACGCTTCTTAGGTGAGTCCTTAGGTATTGCTTGGAATCGTACGTCTGTATATCCTCTTGGTGTCTCTCTCTCTCTCTCTTTAGATATCCAGAACTTTACAAGCGACTGTCCCATAACAAGCAGACATCGTGGAGAATTTTCAGTATGTGGATACTCAATGGTGCTCTCCAGTGTCTCATTATATTCTACTTTGCCTATGCCGTACTCAATGACGACAATGTAGTGTACAATGTGGGGCAGACCGCTGGTTTCCAGACCTTTGGCACCATGCTCATAACTATTATTGTGATTGTGGGCAACCTGAAGCTCCTGCTGGTGGCCCACTACATGACCTACCTGAACTTTGCCATTATTGTGGCCTCCATTGGCGCCTTTATGCTGACAACGTACCTCTACAATCTGCTTACTAGCTCGGAGCTCTACTTGGTCTACAATCTGCTGCTGGGCTCTCTGCCCATTTGGCTATATACGATCATATGCTCGGTGACTTGTTTACTACCCGATTTCACAATGAAGGTCGTTAAGGATATGCTCAGGCAACCAATGCCGCCATCCGACATAAACCGAGCACCAAATGAATGCGACAATCCTAAAGATGTGAATGTCTGAGAAACTTGTTTAAAGAATAATGAATAAAAAGAATAAAAATAAAATTGCATGTCTTACTGGAGGGTACTCTATGATTTTTCCATGAGGTGGATGCCACTGTTCGCTATTTGAGAGGGTTTTAGGGCACAGTTACTAAAAAAAAAAGATGTTAAAGTATGATATCACTGGAGTCTGCTTTGTTACTCTTTTATTCTCTGAAAACTGGGATTTCTCGACTCGTTTATTGATGCTGATCAAGAATATATATCTTTCCATGTGACTTTTGAAGAGATTCTAAAATTAGGCGAATAGCGGTATTGGCGCACTCTGTTTTTAGGGGTAATGAGTAATTTGCCCATCTGTTCATTTTCTTTTGGACAAGGATTTTTGGACTAGTTCTGGTTCTGAGGAACTGTCCAATACTCAATCTCGAAATCGCTAAAACTTAGAATAAAGAGCGGTAATATCAGAGAGATAGTGAAGTCTTAATAGTTGTTCGTTACATTCTGAACCCTCCCTAGGTAATTCCCCATGCAGCCTTCTTAGAGATGCGCTTTTTGTATCGATAAGCCCATATCACATTTATGACGGTAATGGACCGAGTAAAATGCATTTACAGAAGCAATTTATACATTTATACAAATGCTATCGAATACGGATTCGTGATCTTTCAAAAATGTCCAACAAAAAGGTTCTTATCAAAATTAAAATATATATCGATATATTGATACATATATTCACATCCCTATATTAAACATATGGTCACACTACAAAAAAACCGAACACTGAAATGCTGTTAAAAAATCCCAGCGACTTCGTTAGTAACGATAGTGATGTTAGTGATTAGTATACTATTAAGACTTTATTATTATTAATAAGTCTTATTAAGACTATTAAATGAAATGAATGAAACAATTATTTCGAATAGGCCAATCAAGTAGGAAATAGATTCATCAATCGTATAAAATTATGATGGCATGGCTAAATGTTCTATATAGCTAGTAATATTCGACGGAATATCAAAAACGAAGAATATGTAAAATAGTACTTGAATTCGTCAGTATGAGGCGGTATGTTTCGGTATATTTCTGAGGGTCGGACGGTATACTTTATCGATAAGTCCGCGGTCACACTGATGGTCACACTACAAAAAAAAATTTGCTAAACAAAATAAGTAAAAAGTGAATATTTGTTAATGTGCATTCGATTTTCCGGAAAATGGAAGTGGAATATGAGGACTCCGGCTGGCAAGGCCGTGCCAAAGCCCAGTCCAACTCCGAGGTAACAAAGATTTCGGCATTTGGCTTGCTCCCGGACGCTCTGATGCCGCCAGGCAGCGGTGGCGGCAATAACAATATGGATTCTGTTGTATTTTGGGAAACATTTACGAGAAGTTGTATTTTTAGGAAGTACACGAGGACAACCCACAGAAGACCATACAAGAATGCCTGGAGAAATTCCTAACACCGGACTACATCATGGAGCCGGGCATATTTACGCAACTGAAGAGGTACTTCCAGTCTGGCGGCTCCCCGGAGGAAGTGATTTCGATGCTGTCGGAGAACTACAAGGCGGTGGCCCAAATGGCCAACTTGCTGGCCGAGTGGCTCATTCTGGCTGGCGTCAAGGTGACCGATGTCCAGGCCATGGTCGAGAATCATTTAAAAGAGATGATTCTCAAGTCCTTCGACCCGAAAAAAGCGGACACCATATTCACGGAAGAGGGCGAGACACCAGACTGGCTCACCGAGATGATCGATCACTATACGTGGCGATCGCTGATCTACCGTCTGGCCGAGGAGTATCCCGACTGCTTGATGCTGAACTTTACCATCAAACTGATATCGGATGCGGGATTCCAAAGTGAAATCACCTCCATATCGACAGCTGCCCAGCAAATCGAAGTTTTCTCGCGCGTTCTCAAGACCTCTATTGTTAAGTTTCTCAACAATACGGACGATGTGCATGGCGCCATACAGGAGTGCGCCCGCATGGTCTGTCACGGCCAACACACGTACGTCTACTCGCAGGTGCTGATCCAAGTGCTAAGCCAGGAGCAAAAGGGCGGCTTCAACATGAAGCGACTCTCTCAGGAAATCATTAAATATGCCTTACAAAAGTAAGACGGATCGATCATTGAATGCCCAATCAAACTCCCTCTCTAATACGTCTCTTTCCCGCACAGCAATCAGAACGTGACGCCCATAACGATGGCCCTAAATGGTTCAGCCGTTTATCCACAGGCCTGTCAGGCACTCACATCGATGCTGACCCGCAATACCCTCAATCCTGCCGACATCACAGTGCTGTTCCGCAACTACTCGGGATCTGATCCACCGCCAATCGACCTCATACGCAACCCGCAGTTCCTGGAGCTACTAGTTGATGCCTTATTCCGCTCTGGCGTCAAAATAAACCCCGAACACAAGCCCAAGTACATGTTTCTGCTGGCCTATGCGTCGGCTGTCATCGATCAACCGGCGAAAAAGCGACCCCTGACCGAACGCACGCTGAACAAGGACGAGCTGAAGAGCACGATTCAGGCCATCGAAAAGGCGCATGCCATTTGCAATGTGGGTCAAGGTACCTCAGAGCTAATTGCCGAACTCCAGACGCTGTACAACTGCATCAAGTAGGTATATCTATACTGCCCATCTATCTGCATCTGCATTGAATGGTTCTGCGTTTGTGTTTGTGCTCAGGTATCCCGTTGTTGGCGTGGGTGTGATACGCTGGATTGAGAACGTTGTGATGGAGCCATCGTTCTTCAAGCTCTCCACCGACAGCTGTCCCACCCATCTGGCCGTGCTGGACGAAGTGGCGGCTGTCCATCCAACCCTGCAACAGCAAATTCTCTTCCTGCTCATCCGCCTCTTCGAATCGAAGCAGGACGAACTGGAGATCCTCGTTCAGCTGGAGATGAAGAAGATGATTTTGGATCGCATGGTCAATCTGCTGACACGCGGCTGTGTGGTGCCTGTGCTCCGATATGTGAAGCAATGTTGCGCCATCGAGGACACTGATGTTTCGCTGATACGTTACTTTGTCACCGAAGTCCTGGAGACCATCACGCATCCGTATTCACCAGAATTTGTGCAGCTCTTTCTACCGATGGTGGAGAATGAGGAAATAACGGGCACAATGCGGGGAGAGGGTGACAATGATCCAGTGTCCGAGTTTATTGGTAAATGGAGACAGCCTTTTGAACCATTTTCTTGTATCTCTCTTAATCTTTTTCCTTTCGTTTCAGTTCATTGTAAAGCGCACTACACCACTGTATAACACTTGCTCAGGGAGTGCACAATACATATATATATATATATTTGTAAAGGATAAACAAAAAGGATTGACAAAGTTAAGGGCAATAAGAAGAATAAAGCGAGGGAGAGAGTCTATTTTTTAAGTCCAGACATCTGTCTTCCCCCCTTTAGTGGAAGAAATGTAGAAACATAGAAACAGAGTTAGAATAGAGTGAAGTTTTTCTCCTCATTCTAAGGCCTTTTTAGCCTTCAAATACTTCCAATAATACATAATTAGATACTTGAATCTATAATCTGTTTTTCTCTCGGTATCTGATAGTCATAGATCTTCATCAAAATATTTCAAAACAAACAAACAATCAAAAGTAAACAAAAAAAAACAGAAATAAAATAAATAGTTTACATATTTTTTTTATTGCAACCAATAAACATTCATACCTCTTACAAAAAAAATTATTAAGCCTTCAAAAACAGCTTTTGAATGCGTGTTCAAAGGTGGCCCTAAAATAAAAACACTCTTAAAATGTATTTAAAAAAATAAAGTCAAATAAAATAAAATATATATAGAAGCGAAGCAACACGACACTCACTTTCTTCTGCTGCTGCACTCTGCTGCACTTTCAATATATGTATTTATGTACACACTTTCGTTCTTTCTGCCTCTTTTACGGCATGGCATCGTCTGTTTTGTCGTTCAAGTCGTAGATAATAATGTATTATGATGTAATAATGTATTATGTGCGTGTGTGTGTTTGTTTATATGGTATCTAAGTGTGTAGTTCTGTCCCATAATTAATCCTACCAATTGCAATACATTAGAATACACAAATTTATACGGATAGGGTCCTTAATCACAAGTCGATGGCCAGCAGCACCATACACACCCCCTGGGTGCTGGCCATCGAGAGTGATACTCACAACAACAACAAAAATATATGTCTTTGGCTCGAAATCGTACAATCGATCGATCTAGTGATAGTTCATGCTATGCTATATGTATGTCTGTGCGTTTGGTTTGGCAGCGATGATTGATTACGTTTGTTCTTGTTCTAACTACAAAATAATGTTTTAGTTGTTTTTCTTAACATCTTTACTGTCGCCATCCTTGGCCTGTCCGCGGCCCAAGATCTTGGCCAAGCTATCCCAAATGCCGCCAAAGAAGATGGCACAGCCCAGATTCTCTAATGGCAGGAAGGGATCGTGTATGCCCAGCAGAATGGACGACAGCTTAAAGTAAACCAAAAAGATTACAATTCCAAAGTACACCAGAGCGTGCGGTGCTGAGATCCAGTCGGTCTTCTTGTCCAGCACAAAGATGATCGAAGCAAGCAGAGAAGCCTTGGTGTAGCTGCAAAAACAACAAATGTTTCAAGGAATCAGTCTATTAAAATGGTTGAACCACTCACAAGCTTGGCTGCATGAATTCCATGGCCGTTGGTGTCCATGCGCCACGAATGAGGCGTTCAATCAGCTTGGTGAATCCCGCCCCATTGCCCTTCAGAGTGCCAATGATGATCATGATTATCCAGGCATTCGGATACAGCTTGGCCGCATGCCCCACACCGTCGTAGACCTTTTTTGCCCGATATATCTCCTTCATGGCACTGGCCACAATTTTCACGGGCAGGAATTTGGCCACCTTGTAACCAATATCGAACGGCGTATAGAAGACAACGTACCTACCAAACAGATGCAGATACAGATACGGATACGGTTCTTTAGGGGACTTTTGGCTGGAATATATTTACCATACGGCTGTGCCCACTAAAAGCTGGCCGGTATTTTTCAATGGTGCCAGTATGGGTTCGCCGAGCAGACCATTGGCCACCATGCCACCGGCAAAGATGACGAGCATGGTCGAGAGCCAGCAGGCCAATGGATGCTTACGGGAGAAGGCCTGTGCATTGGCGCCCAAGTCCTCGCGCACGGCCAGCGCGGCAAGTAAACTGTGAGCAATGTCGAAAAACGGAAACATTTTCAGCTTGATGACCTGATTGGCCACATCCAAAAATGCTTCCGGGTCCATGATCACAGCTGATCTTGTATCCTGCCTTCACGGATGATAAATCTGCGAAAAAGGTAGGGATATGGATAATTCTTTCAAGTCTTGCTATTGAAGATCTTTCACAACCAAATTTGGCAAAAATAATGTTACATAATACTTCAAAAATTGTAAAAAGGCCAATTTTGTATCAGTTTAGGATGTATATATCCCATATGAACTCTCCCTATACAAACAGATGCTTCTTTATTGTGATTTCTTACAGACGAGAAGATTGTAGAATAGATAGAATGAGAGGCTGTTGACGGATTCCCCCGCAATTGAAGACAGAAAGAAGACTCTTTGAACTGCAGCCCGTGTACGTACGTACAACGTACACGCGCCCGCCGGGCCGCGCCGGGCCGGGCCGGGCATGGCATGGCATGTAGAAGAGTAGTCGAACTGTATGTTCATTTAGACACAAAAACATAAAAACACACAAATTCAAACTGAAAATTGTCGCTGTTTTGGCCACACAGCAGCTCCAAAAATAAATTTCGCTAATGAATCGGTGAGGGCTGTTAGAAGAGGCGCGCACCGCACCGCATCGCGCCGGGTCGGATACGAGACCGAGACCGTGCGCACACACAGGTCTGTTCCGTATGTGGCAGTGTGCAGCAGCCCACATATACGGGTACGGATACGGATACACGGGGTACGGTACGCGGGGATGGGCTGCGGTGGCTGTGCCTGTGCCTCCTGGCTATTTTCGAGCGGCGTACATTTGGAGAGGCTACGTAGTATACAAATAAAAAGTATATGTACTCCACTTTTAACGCCTCGTTCCGGACTCCAGCCAGAAAAATATCATAATATATCCGGACCCATATGTCCGCAGATTCTACGGCTTTTTTACCGGACCATGCGGGAAAATAAATTAAAATAACTAACAAAAAAATGTGTGGTACCTACGTCTAACACACACGCGAGCGAACGGATAAACGGATAGCAGAGTGCAGCACGAACACGGGGAGACTGGGCCGCCAGGTCCCGTGTGTTACATGCTCGTTGTTTGTTGGCTATTTGTTGCTCTCCCTCTCTCTCTCTCTCTCTCTGTGGTCAAATGTTATATATTTAGAATTTCTACGAGTTTTCGGAGAAGCAATCTCTCGCAATATGCCTTCTATGAATACCTATATGTATATGCCGTCCATACACAAAATGTACGAGCGGCGCACTCGTATGTATCTTACAGATGGCGGGGGCCAGCCAGCCAGATCAATGGGGCGAAGACCCAGAGCTTCGTATTTCATACAGAAAAAGCGCCCATAAGCCATTCTCCGGAATTCCCTCGATTCCCAGAGACCATTTCAAACTCAACGGACATTTGCGTGATGTGTTGTCTGTTTTGTGTGCGTGGAAATAGGTGAAAAGAAAACAATCTCTCACCTTAGAATATTACACAGAAAAAAATTTAAGCCGCATGAATCATCAACCACTTATCACTCAAATGTTCTTTGATTATTAATTCTGTATAATGGGCGGATTTGCACACCGTTTTGGTGCTTACATAAATATGTTTTTGTTGCAGATAAACATAAACAAAACACGATAAGATAGGCCGAAAAACTATCGATAACCATTCAGTGCAACAGATTCCGGCTCGTTTATTAGGAGTAATTTGATCAGGGAGCCAGTGATTGGTGAACGCACTTGATTAGTGATTATGATGCATAGTTTCAAGCACTTGATTTTCAGAAAGGGAGCGTCAAAACAGCACGATACCGTTTCTTGATAAATGATACATTGCTGTTGGCATCTATCGATAGCTGACATATCGATAAAAATAAGATACAAAGAAATAAACAAGCCAAAAAAAATGAGAAAACCCAAGAATATAGCTCAATATTTCCGTTTTATGAAGAATAATCCAATTTGGCGTGACTGTAGCGACGCTTCGAAGCCGGCTATTGACCACATCGATAGGTTTTGATCCGATTATATTTACGATGGGACGATAGCCTTGTATACTCAAGAAAGTAATATTCAATACACTGTAAACTAAATATATACTTGTATAATTATTTTCCAAGGCGAACACTTTTAAATGAAATTCGCGCTGCAAATATTTGAAATGTATCGTTCCAGTTCCTCTCCGCTCTATTAGTTATCGTCTTTCTAAGTCGGGAACTGTCCACCACCGGTGCCGATTTCGAATTCTGTTTGTTGTTTATTCGTGCACAGCACAGCAATCGGCGCTCGGACTTAAAACAAATACGAATAATGTAAAGTTTGTGTTACATATAATTGTCCATTCATTTTCCCCACCATACCAGTAATTGTGCGAAATTTTCGGCACAACAACAATTTCAAGTCAAGACGAATCTCTGCCACTTTTCGAAGGCACCGAATCTCCCACACAATCGCAGCACGGACGCACACACTCCCATATAGCAACGTACGTGTGTAGTATTTGCATGGCACATGCACAAAAAACTGGTGTATGTTTGATTTATAACTAAAGTGAGATTAAGTTCGAAATCTCGGTGGTATAAAGGTGAGCTATTTGAGTATAGTTTTGTGTTGATTTTAATGTGATTTTCTCTAATTTTGTTTGTAATCTCCTCCAAAAAAGTAAATTGCCTTGTAGCACTCACACACAAACAAATAGCCATGTGTAAATAAGTTGACTTTTTTGTGTGCAAGCGTGCGTGTGTTTGTGTGTGTGATGCGTGAATCTTGGCTTTGATTTGGTAAAAAAAAAAGCAATAAAGCAAATACCTATTTACATAATTTAAAGGTCAATTCGAATAGGGCCTTTATTCCCATGAGAGTTACTTACTAAAACTAGCCCACCCCACTCATTAAAAATATCCAAAACTGCCTAAACTTATGGAAATGCTAAATAGATCTGTAAGTTTTGTCTCAATTTCACTTTCGACCCACTTCGGTGGAAAATGTGAAATGGAACTGGGAACAAGGCTAAAAAAGTACGTGTTCTAATTGGGAAACTACCGTTCGTTTTTATAATACCAACCACACTCTATGTATGCATTGTTTGTATCTACTGTACTACTATTTATAATACTATGAATCGTATGTTCAGCCATAACTTCTTTCGAAATAATAAACATATATGTATATTGGCAAGCCCCAAGTCCAGTCATTGTGAAACCAGATACTTGTATGTACTTAAATCAAAGCGTGAACAGCTCCTCCGATAAGTAAAGAGATCTTTTTCATATATGTAAATATTTACACATGTGTCTGTTTGTTTGTTAGCCCGTAATCGAGCAGTGCCGAGCCGAATATGGCATAAAAATGCCGAGTAAGATGTTCTCGTAGACAAAAATTATGCAAACGCCACAGATTTTGTTTTCTACCCAAGAAAGATCACGGTTTTTTGGGTTTTGTTCACTGATAAGGAAAAGATATCAAGTGAATCATATTTCACGTGTGTTGTTTGTTCTATGCATTCTACCTCCCTCCAATCCACTCCACGCCACACCGCTCTACTCCACTCAACTCCACTCCCCCCGCCCCCACACAACTTTCATTTTGCCGTCCGAGTGCTAGTAGTCGATTTCTAAATTGTAATAAAAACAAAAAATCATTTTTTCTGAATTTCGTGACCGACTTTCAGATGGCGTCCAACAGCCCATCGAAGAAAAAATCCTCTGGTATGCGCGTTTTGTGGATACCAGGCAGAAAATCCCACCATCCCAAGGGCCGCTATAGCACCACCAGTAAGCACGTCTCGTACTCGGGTCCGCAAAAGAAAAGCGAGGTGTGGTCCTTGGGAGGCAGCAAGGCACAGACCGAGCTGATTGACTTGTAAGTAAGAGGATGGTTTTATTCTCGGAGGGAGATCCAAAATATAATGCAAATGCATGCAATGCCCTCCCCTCCCCTCCCCTCATACAGCAGCCCATGGATTCACAGTCGAGCTTACGATTTACTAATTATAACAATTGTTGTGCCTACCCATACCTGACACTCGTCGCTAATCATTGCAAAATAATACTCGCACACGCAATCGCCCTGGCAGTTGTTGCATAAATCGATTCTCTGATGGAATGTATCCGTAATCTTTCAGCCCAATGTCCGACGGTCTAGCTACACCATCATCGTCCCTGAGCATTGTGGCCACTTGCTCGTTAGTTCAAAGCGTGAAACTCGATCATCACACTTCCTCTGATGATTTAGTCGGACTTTCAGAGACTGCCACGTTGCCCGCTTCGCCAGGAGCTGAAGATACTCCGCCACAGAGTCCACTCTCTGAGGCACCATCGACGCCGTCCACAAAAGCCATGACCTCTCCCAATGTTATAACAACAGCAGAAGTGCAGAATTTGGTAAATAATCGTTAAAGATGGGAGGGAGCGGAGCCATCAGTCAATCATAATTGCAATCTGTTTTCTGTTTGCAGCACAACTTTGTGTGTCCCGAAGATCTGCCCAAGGTGCCAGGGCATTTGGCAGCAACAGCCGAGGCAGAACTGGCACTTAACAGCTCGGCAGGAACGACAGCTTCGATAGCAACGACATCCTCGCCACAGGCAAACCGCAAGGCAGAACCCCAGCAAATGCCACCAATAACATCGCACTCGCAGCAAGCGTCACCCCAAAAGACCAAATATAAGAATCACAATAACAATCAGGTAATCTACATTACTTCTCCTTTCAATCCACCTATATTTATTTATGTTTTTTGTATGTTTTGTATGCTCAGGAGGATATCAATTCAATTGAGAGCCTCTCCAGTTTTCCACGCTTTCAGGGGAATGCCGCTGATTTTGATTGGATCGACGAGATGGTGCAGCAACGGAACTGCAACGAACTGATGCACAAGAACAAGCGCAAAAAGGGCTCGAAAAAGGCCATCGAGAGTCTCGAAAAGGACCAATTGGATGGCAAATCCTACGATTACAAGACCAAGGACAATATTGATAATAATGATGGTGATGAAAAGATGGTCACATGCCTCTACTACTCGCTCATGTGCTGCGACTGTACTATATCATAATCGAATGAGAGCGTTTAAGCCTCTCCAGCTACATATATCCATGTAAAATACCTCTTTAAACCTACCTATGTATAAAATATGTACGTTTTTTGATACGATACCTTTTAGTAGTATAATAATCTTCGAAAAGAACCCGACCCCAAAATGAAGACACGACAGACATTTAGCATAAAACAAAATTGAAATCCGTACGCCCTCAGTAGCTACAGACAAAAGAATAACTGAAGTATTAACGAATTTATAATGATTTACATGGAAGGTTATATTATAATTTACAAAAAAAAAAAATAACAACAACCACAAAACAAAAAGAACATTCAAATTAACTTCCGTACTCTATAAAAGAATACGAGTTAGTGTGTCAGAAAACAATCTCGTTTTGTATGTACATTATTAAAGCTATTTTGTACTTTTGTAAATAAGGTATTTTCTACAAAATACACCATAAAACAAATACAAAACTTGTAGCTTGTATTATTTATGCGCCCAAAGCGAAGGAAGCTCTTGAAAATGAAACCCACTATCGGGCAATGTGTAGAAAAGCCAAACCCTTTACGTGCTGACAACCCCCTGCTAGAGTAGATGCAATATCAATATTCTCAATATTCTTTGAATATTCCGAATCACTATAAAACCATTTTTTGTCATCCAACAACATGGTTAATATCATAGACTTTGGTAGAACCCTATTTTAAGATCATCTACGCATTCTAAGGGTCTCTCTCTCTCTCTCTCTCTCTCTCTCTCTCTCTCTCTCTCTCTCTCTCTCTGTGCATACTGACACTCGAAATGTACTTTGTATTCTTTCACTTAGCGAAAATTTAAGACTGTTTTTGTCCGTCTTCATCTGCTATTGCTTTCTACTAACGCTTTGTTTCTCTCGATACGATAGACCTGTTGATAGAACTCACTTTAAAAGCCATGGCGTTGTCTTTCTCTTCATGTATGCATGTATCCTTTTGCTTATGGCACATTTTAACATTACTCGAGGGCACTGCATCGTTATGCAAAGCATACGATACGATAGATCTGTTGATAGAACTCACTTTAAAGGCCATGGCGTTGTCTCTCTCTTCATGTATGCATGTATCCTTTTGCTTATGGCGCATTTTAACATTAATCGGGGGCATTGCATCGTTATGCAAAGCAATGACTGCTCGCAACACATTTTTTTGGTAACTTTTGGTCTTGTTTTATGACCAGTTTGGATCGTAATGAAAACCAGTTTGAAAGCCAGAGCCAAAATTAATTTTTCTTGATCTTATTTCGAATTAAAAACGAATCAACAAGGTGCATGCGATCCATTCAAAAACAAGATTCGCAAGGTAAAGCAAAGAGAAAGCCCAGGTATTTGGTGACGTGACGAGGCTAATCGTAAGGCTAATGATACGATACCTACATAAAATAGAATTTCGCTCAATATGCTGAAAGAAGAACACGGACAATTGGTTTTCAACTTGACATAACATTTTTCATAAAAATTTAATACAAACATTAAATTTACAAATATATATATAAAAACAATTCACAATCACATATAAATTTTTATCATTTTTTGTTTTCGGGATGTTAAATATTTCGATTTCGCTATATACCTCCAAAGTAAGGTGTTTTTTTTTTTTTTTTAATTTACTAGTCCAGAGAGAGAGAGAGAGAGAAGGCGCGCAAGAGAAATCCAAGAGAAAATCGCGTTGTCAATTGCGGGTTCCATCAATCAATCAATCAGCTGAGGATATTATTGCTACAGCTAGTAGTTGCTGCTGTTGCTGTGGCTGTCGGATCTCTGTACGTATTGTTGGATATAATATCATCTGGTTCTCTTCCATTTCTATTCCCGTACTCATTGCAACTTCTTCTCTTGGGGACGGGGGCGTGGCCACCGGCTCCCTTGCAATGAAACTCAATCGCATCAATATCTTTTGTACTCTCAATGTAAAATTCGTTCCCATGTATTGTGCCTTTGGGGTCATAAACGATCCGCTTCACCTCTGTCGTCACATCCAACATATCATCCTCAGTATTATCAGCATCAGCATCATCATCATCGGTGTCATCGTCCTCGCCCACATTAAATATAAATCTGGCCTCATTGCTTGTCTGTGCGGCTGAGGCGTTCTTCTTTCGACGACTACTCCCACCCGACGACGATTTGCTGGCTATCTTTCTATATCTTACGGAATTTCTCGATACATAGTTGCTGTTTCGCTGCAGAAAGAACAAATATTGATTTACAAAAGCTTCAATTATTCACATGTTAGATGTCTGTTTACCTGTAGAACAGCAAAAATAATGGAAAATATGGTGATAATAAGCAAACAAATGGCCACTGCAATGGCCGTGATGGCCGTCAAAGGAGAGTCCAGCCGCACAAGGAACTCATTGCCATTGCCCTCACTGCCTCCAAGCTGGGCATCAGCTTCAGCATCTCCGCCACCGCTTTTGTACACGCTCCCACTGCCGATGACTGTACGCCGTTTACCGCCCGTAGAGGTAGCTTTGCATTCACCTGGTCGGAGGATGCTTTTCACAATTATACGACTTTAATCTTATTGATCCGATCTTACCCGTTTCCTTGTCGCAATGGCAGCACGCGACTGATATTGTGGTGTCGTTGGTGGTGGTCTCGTTTTGCTTACAGCATGGCACACACTGGCTGTTTAACTGATCCAAATGGAGGGGCGGTGCGCAGTTCTTGCACGAATACTGGCCAGGGCCAAGGCAGGAGCGGCACGAGTCGTGGCAACCCTTGCAGGTGGATGTCGTGATGTCGTAGTACTGTGAGCTAAGGCACTCCATGCACAGTCCTCCATCGAGCATAAAGTGTGGCGGGCACGAGGAGCAGGCCAAAGGACCGGCATCTGCAAAAACACAAGTTATTATTTTCCGAAACGTGATGTAGAACAGCATTTTCCACACATACCATTGCATGTCTTGCAATAGTGATGGCACTTCTGACAGCCAAAATCCGACTTGTAGAAGCCCTCGGGACACTCTGGATGGCATTCGCCGGCTGCCAGCTGCCAGCCAGCGGGACACTGAACGCACTGGTTGCGACGTGGCCCACTGCACGTGTGACAGCTGAGATAGCACTTGGCACAGATGCCCCGATCGCTGTAGTAGCTGTAGAAATGGTATTAGACAATAAATAAAAGAATGAAATACATTAAATAATCATTTACCCATCGGCACAGGTGGTGCGGCATTCGCCATTCTGCAGTTCGAGGCCCTTGGAGCAGTTGCTGCAATTGGTGCGCGATATGCACTGGCTGCAGGTGTGCAGACAGGGCGAACAGACGCCCGTCTCCATGAAGAACCCATCCTGACACCCGCTCACGCATCGGCTCAGCTCCAGCAATCGATTTGCGGGGCAGGACATGCAGTTCGTCTCGAGAGCACCATTACAGCTCTCGCAGGAGGCATGACAGGGACGGCACTGGCCTTCAATCTGACTAAAGAATTCGGCTGCGATAGAGGGAATAATATTAACATGAACGAAGAGAGGAATGTAATTTCATTTGACATACATTCATTGCACGCCTCACTTCCGGCCACAATGCATTTGTCCTTCTTGTTCAGCGACCAATTTGCAAGGCACTCGGAGCATATGCCATTGCTGGTGCAGGTCTTGCAGCCCTCCTGGCAGGGCATGCACTCCAGCCGCTTCTTGTCCGCATAAAATGCATCCGGACAGCTATTAAGGCATTGGTTTTGCCAGGCATAACGGCCTGGTCGACACGTGATGCAGTTCTGGTCCGTTGGGCCATTGCATGTACCGCATGTCGAGTGGCAGAAGGCACATCTGTGGTAATAGAAGAACATCAGGCTTACAATTTCTATGGCAGGGATTTTCCGCTGCTGCACGTTATCCTACTTGTTATCCTCCGTTTCGTATGTGTCCAGGGGACAGGCCGAGTAGCATTTATTCTCATGCATCACCAGATGATGGTCACAGCTGGTGCAATACTCGGGATGGTCCTGGCAGGAGGCACAGTTTGGTTCGCAAGGAGCGCAGGTTCGATTTCTGCTATCTGTTTTGGAAAATACAAAGACACACACAAAATTACGGTCACATTTAACATTGAATTCTTTTTAAAGCTCTCTCTTATGGGACCTTAGCAGCATTTACAGGTTTTTTTTGTTCAATCCAACCCCTCAATCTCGCCTTAAACCAAAAAACTTGTTCTTGCTAAGTCTTGCAGGAAAAGAAAAGAGATGGCTATACCTAAGCATCATCTCTCTTGCCGTCTTCTTTCATCTCTGATTGTTTACAAGGATACAAAAAAAAAACCATAAATTCCCATTTTTATAGGTATTATAAACGTGTTTATAATATGTTTGGCTATAATAATGAATCCAATTATAAACAAATCACAGCTTCAATTGCACTTTTGACTACTGAATGGAATGATTTCTTGGAGCAATACAATTGATGGAGAGACCCCTCCACAATCATAATTGATCCCCACAATTAACCCCTTTTGAATTTCGGAACAGGCACAGAATATGTTATTCTGTTTTGCATGTTCTTCCTTCTGTTTGCTTTTCCTTACTTTCAAAATAACCATCTGGGCAGACTTGCAGGCAGACAGCCAGATCGATCACATGCAGATGGGCTGGGGCGCAGGTGAGGCAGCTGTCGGGTCCGGCGCCAGCGCAGGTCTCGCAGGAGTCGTGGCAGGGCCAGCAGATGCCCACTTGATTGGGAAAAGATCTAGGCGGACAACGGCTCACGCAGGTGCTGTAAACAAATCGTATTTTGAGTCGTGTTAAATCATTTTTTGCTGCTTGCTTACTTGTCCAATCGATAGTGACTGCAGGCCACACACTGTGTGGGTCCGCGGCCATAGCAGCCCAAGGAATCGCATTCGGCATCGCAGGAGTACAGCACAATCTTCTCCTTGGTGGCACCGGCTGGCTCTGCTTTCAGCTGGGCGGCCGCAACGCCAGTGACATTCTGTCCATCTAGCGTAGCGGTGGCCGGTTCTGGTTCCGATCCGGCACTGGTAAAGATATTCTGATAGTTGAGATAGCCCGCAAAGCTGTCGGTGTTGTAGTTGCCGCCCTCGTTGGCCGGCTGGCCGATATTCGAGGCGGATGGGAAGAGAAACGGATTGGCGCCCCCGATAGGGCTACGCATCTGTGGATTCCCATTCAGCAGTTCCGACTTTAGGCGCATGGGCTGATTGGATGTTCCATAAAAGATCAGCTGCCATTTGGATAGAATCCCCGGCTGATTGACCCTTCGACGGCCGGCATTTATCACCTGCAAGGTCCAGCGTCCCTCGGCCTTTTCCCCCCAATAATGAACGCTGAGGAAAGGCCAATCGTCAAAGTTTGACTTGACAATGTCACGCGGTCGTTCAAACAGCAGCGTGCTCGTGGTGCCCATGGGCGAGGTCAGAAGAATCCTTAAATTTCCTCTCGGAAAGAAGCGCAAGGTAATGCGACACTGAACATGCTCTAGATATCGCACCTCATTGATCGTCCCCGCACAGCCATTCACATCCATGTGGGTGGACAGTGTAAAGCCAAAGGAACCCTCGATTCTCCTATCCTCGTTGTTCTCCCGCGACTTGCAAATATGCTGAGGCGGCACCGAGGTCCACTGCTCTGCCATTGAGACCATGGCCCCCGCATCCATCAGTCCGTAGCCGAATTTGTGACTGTATTTCCGCTTGACGCCATTCGGGGTCCAGCCGCCCTCCTTCTCCAGCGGCGAAGGTCGCGACGTATACACCACCAGGTACTGCATATCCCGCCAAGTGAGATCCGGATTAGCCTCCAACGCTAGGGCACAAATTCCAGCTGCCAGCGGCGCTGAAGCCGAAGTTCCCGTATGCTCCACCGTGCAAATATGATCGGGTCGCAGACGTCCATCCATATCGACGGTGGCCACACTCTTGTCATGGCCCGGCGTTCCCGAGCTATAGGTGGTGGCCAGCGTCGAGGAGCATTCCTCCAAGTACCAGGGCTTGAAGCCCGCCTGTGTGGCACTTGATATGGAGAGGGTGAAGATCGAATTGGTGTAGCCATCGCAGTTGCACGAATCGGTGTAGCGGCCACCGTTGCCCGAGGCCCACACAAAGATGGAACCCCTGCCCTGCCGACCGCTGGTCACGCCATAAATGAAGGCGCGCCGGGCCAACGGACCGGGGCCATCCACCGTCGAGCCATCATCCTCGGGTCCCCACGAGGCACTGTAAATATCAATGTGCGAGGGATTCAAACTCAACGCCTGGGCCTCCACTACATCGTTGACTTTGCCATCGAGCATGCGAACACCTAGACAGGGAATAAAGGAGTACTATAAGCCAGAAGAATGTCCAAAGGTCTCCGATACACTTACCACCAATGCTGGCATTGTAGGCCACACCCACGCCACAATAATTGTTAAAGGCCACGGCTGCCACTTCGCCGGCGCAACGTGTGCCATGCTTATTGTCGCCATTA